TGGACTGGGTCAGGAGGAGAGTCTTCATCCTTGACATTACCATAAGCAGAAAACCCTTCGATATTTATAATAGCATGAGTTTTGGTTATCTTGTGAGGGTGGATAAACTCGATGCCCTCACCTTTCACATGAGCAACCTGCAAGAACTGGCCTCCCCCTGTGGAGATGACCTCACAGTGTAGGATATGAAGCTGACACAAAGACTGCTGAGGACACGTGATGTCAAACAGAGGTCCTGCAGGCTTCTTGTGGTGTTGGGCCAGCAGCCTTCTGTTCCAAGGGACAGTCCTGTAAACCACATCTCCTTCTCCCTTCATGACAAACATCAGGTTGGTCACACTGCACTGGTACAGGCCTGGACAGGAGCACTGGAACATGTAGGTTTCATCACCAAAATCATCAACACTGATGTTGGGTCTATACTCATGTAACTTCATGGATGGTAAGCTTGCTGCCCGTGTTAAGTTGTTCCTTGGTACGTTGCTCAATAAAGATGAGTGACTTTGAGAGCGAGTCAGGCAGCAGAAAGCTGTGGAGCAGATGTGCAGGTGGGAGCTTGGTGGCAGGGTGCTGCTCACTGAATTAAACTCAGTCCCTACAGGTGTTTCTCCTGTATGATTTTCAACATCTGGATGGGTTTCTGCTTGCCAGGAAGAAGCTCCCAACAGGTTTTCAAGCTTTTCTTCATTGCTGCATTCAGGAGACCCAGTTACCAGTAGACTGTGAGAAAGTGTGGAAACAGACGATTTACTTTGGTATCTGCTGTAGTTCATAGGTTCACAGTTTAATTTAGTAACCTGACTTCTAAGTCTCAAGTTCTTCTCTATTATACTATTAAATTTCAGGCAATCACAAAGTTTGTGAAGAATGTATGTCACCAAATTTAAATCAGACCACATATGGTCCTTTTAGTGTTGAGGTCAGTTACTTTTCGTAAGTTCTGAGGCGATCTGTAGCACCTCCTCTACTGTCTCTGTGGCTGCTGTGCTCCGTCAACATATGGCTAATTACTGACACAACACTATTTGACAGTGAGATAGACCAGGCCGAAGAGAGATAATAATGATCCACCAAGAACACAAGAACACATTCTGAAATTTCTTAACCCAGTCTTCCTTA